CCCTGAGTAATCCTACGTCACCCTACAGTCACTGGCACCATATGCATGACAACAGTTTGCTGATACTCAAACCTTCCCTAATGTCATCGCTTGTCTGGCTCCAGACTGCAAACCATAAACAAGATCGCCCCACCTTGCCATGACAGCTCTGTGCCCTGCCAGCTGGGAGGGGATTCCATGTGTCCATGGACTCTCTGTCCCTCGGGTGTCCATCAGTAACCATGCCTAACTGATGCTTTAACTTCTTACATCCTGAGCAGCCATCCATCTAAGGGTCACACACACACACACACACACACACCCCTCTGCCCCAAATTAACCCCCTTTCTCAAGCAGCCACCCTCTCCCTCTAGCCTGCTGCTGTCCTTCAAACCACGTGTCTGACCAGATCTCTCACCCTGCGTGGTCTTTCCCACAGAAAACTAAACAATTATGGGGCCTTCACTCTCCCCTCTCCCCTGCTACTGTTTCTGACCAGCTCAGGTGCTTCCCCATGTGGCCACCGTGATACAATGAGTTCCCCTTTCAGGAAGCTGAGTGCTGCTGGCCTTTGCTCTCCTTCCTCCGCTGGGTCTCCCTCTCACCTGGACAGAGGAGAATCCTGCAGGTTGAAGGCATCACACTCTAGCATTAGCCTTTGCTCTGATTGGCTGTCATAGCCCTGTCCATGAGTGTGGGGCCAACGCAGCCATCAATAGGAAGCTCCGATAAGCCCTGTCTGTTATTCAGTAGAGTCAGGATCAGCCGGTTCTACTGACCAGGCCACGACCTCTATTCACACAGTCCTCCCTTCTGATTCTGCTGCGTGAGGTACCCAGGATGCCTGGAGCTCCCCTCAGCTTGCAGGGAGCTGCATCTGGCCCAGTTGTGGCCCAACTGGCTAGTGGCAGGAAAGTCTTCTCCCATGGTGTAGCAGGCTACTGCGGCAGGCACCCATGGCTGCCTTGCCTGCAACCTTCTCTGTGCCTTCAGCAGCAGCACCCACTGCTGCTGCCAGGGGAGGGAGTGCTGGGCCAGCACAGGCCTCTGAGCTCACCTCACCTCTCTAAAGCAATCGTCAACTTTCTCTTTTCTTCAAGGTTACTGAGGCCAGCCCAGGTAAAGCCACCTTCTCTGGCAGTGATATTTCATAGGGGTGCCAGTTTGAGTCCCACTTGCTCCATTTCTGATCCAGCTCCCTGCTGACATGCCTGGGAAAGCAAAGGAAAATGGCCCAAGTGCTTGGGCCACTGCACCCACTTGGGAGGCTTCTGTATCCTGGAGTTGAACTAGCCAAACTCCAGCTGTTTTAGCCATTTGAGGAGTAAACGAGCAGATGGAAATTCTACTTCCATCTTTATCTTTCTGTAACTGTATTTTTCAAATATAAATAAGTTTTTAAAAGATTTATTTATTTGGAAAACAGTTACAGAGAGACGGGGAAAGAGAACCCTCCACCCCCTGCTCACGCCCCTGCTGGTTCACAGCAAGCTGCTCACTGCCCAGCCGCAGCCCCTCCCCCAGTGTGTCCTGGCTGACATTGGCGGGGTTGCTGTCATCTGCTCATGAGCTTCAGCCACTAGGTCACTCACATCCCAAGAACCTTCAGGTGCATGAGGTCTGGCTGTTATGCTAGCTAGTTCTCACCCCAGAGTTAAACATCTGGCTTTGCAAAAAAGCCAAGTGGTTACTCCTCACACCAGGAGCACCATGAAGGAGGAGAAGAGGCAGGAAGTCCTAGGTTCCTAACCTGGGCATCTGTTTTTGAGGCGAAGAACATGATATTGCTTGGGAACATATGCAAGGGACTGAGCCATGGAGGGCCAGGGAGCGTGCTTGTGCTAGATCGCCCTGTGCTGGGACCTTCTTCCCGGCAGGAATTAACATTGAGGCCTGGGGGTGGGAGACCAGACACCAGTTCACACACCTGCAGATTTCAGGGCCACGGGCAGCAGCCCTAAGTGTGCCTGTGCGTGTGGGTGTTTGAATTAGTACATCTGATTCAAAAATTTATTCACAAAACTGAAACTGGGACCTGCCCTTGCATGACTGTCATGTTAGGCTGATCAGCAGCCAGTGCTGGGCCAGCTGAAGTCAGGAGCAAGAAGCGCTAGCCACACCACCCAGGTGGTGGCAGGGACCCAGGCCTTGAGTCATTACCTGCTGCCTCCCAGTGTTTGTGTTAGCAGGGAGCTGGAGTGGGGAAGGTCCCAGGCACCTGGTGTGAGATCAGGGGTCCATAGCAGCATGCTACCTGTGGTACCAAAGGCCTGCCCCGCGTGCTCTGTCATTCTTGCTCAGTCACCTGCCTGCCTTAGTCTCAGTGTCACCAGTTTCAAGGGACACAGGTGTCTGGCACCTGCAGTTACCTCCTCTCTTCATGTTGGCAGTGAACAGTCTACACGTTAAAGGCTCAGTCTGTGCCAAGTCTATCTCCCTGCCTCTCACTCCTTGGTGGGGCCCAGGGAGTTCCTGCATAGACGAGTTAATGATGCACAGATGAACTCTAGGAACCTCACTGATGACGGTCCTCCACCTTCAGGAGTGTCTCTGTTCCCCACAGGACTTCCCTTTCATCCTTTTAAATGTTGATTTATTTTTTTTTTTTCAAGGTTTTTTTTTGTTTGGTTTTCAGAAGCAGGCATTTTTTTTTTTTTTAGATTTATTTTTATTATTTTTTCATTGGGAAGGCGGATATACAGAGAGGAGAGACAGAGAGGAAGATCTTCCGTCCGATGACTCACTCCCCAAGTGAGCGCGACGGGCCGATACTATGCCGATCCGAAGCCAGGAGCCCACTCCGGGTCTCCCACGTGGGTGCAGGTTCCCAAAGCTTTGGGCCGTCCTCGACTGCTTTCCCAGGCCACAGGCAGGGAGCTGGAAGGGAAGCGGGGCTGCCGGGATTAGAACCGGCGCCCATATGGGATCCCGGGCGTGCAAGGCGAGGACCTTTAACCACTTGCGCCACCGCGCCGGGCCCCAAATGTTGATTTATTTTTACTTGAAAGTCAGAGAGAGAGAATTTCTATCTGTTGGTTCACTCTCCAAAATGATCACAACAGAGCTGACCCAGTCTAATGGGAGCCAGGAGCTTCTTCCTGGTCTCCCACGCAGGATCCCAAGGCTTTGGGCCGTCCTCAACTGCTTTCCCAGGCCACAAGCAGGGAGCTGGATGGGAAGTGGAGCTGCCGGGCCACCAACAATGCCCATGTGGGATGCAGAGGAAGTGGGGCAGGTGGGGACCTGGGTCGCCAACCTCCACAGCTGCAGGATGGGAGAGGGGTTGAGTCTGAGATCACACAGAGGAAGTATAGCACCTCAGATCTGAGACATAGGCTCCCTCATGCAATCAATGTGTCTTTACAGCACCCTGAAGATATGCCTCATCCCCCAGGACCCTCCCAGCACCTGCAGCCGGGCTCAGGCAGAGATCCAATGGCATAGACCACAAAACCACCCACTCCCCATGTCCTGTGGTCACATGATCTGCTGGTGATAGACAGTAGTGGATAGTGTGGGTGGAGCAGTGCTAGGGACCCCATAAATAGTGAAAAGGCTCTGTCTGCCGGGTGCCCTGTGGCCCCCCCAGGTCTCCCTGGTCACTGTCCCCAACATCTCCCCAGCAGGGGGTCTGTAGCCCGACCCTCCAGATCCACAGTCCCTAAATATCCAACTTCCAAGGGCGACTCCACAAAAGTGGGAACTGTGCAGGGTCTGGGGATGGTGCAGTGGGGACAATCAGGTCCCTGGGACAGCAGCACCTGGAGCCTGGGCACAGCTAATTGGGGGGAAAGTGGAGGAGAGCACTCCTGCAGAAGGGAGGGGTAGGGAATGTCTCCCAGAGGGGAGGCTCAGACCAGACTCAGCTCGGAAGGCTCCAGGGGGAGGGGCTGAGGAGGCAGCAGTTGCTGGACCTGATCAGGCATGCACTTCCCAATCACTGATGTGTGGGTTCTTGTCACACTTGATTCTGCACCTTCAGCCCCACCTCTCCCACCCCTGTGGCCTGTGTTGCAACACAGATAAGGTGCACCCTGTATGCACAGGTGTGTATAAACCACAGAGCCCAGTTGGTCCCCACAAAGAGGTGCTGCTGCTCTGCCACCCAGCACCCTGTGGCAGGTCAGAACTATGGTGCTCAGCCTCACTGGTGAGGAGACCTCAACCCTGGGGGGAGGCTGTTGCTGCGGCCCTAATCACTGCTGAGTTGGAAAACTAATGCTCTTTTTGCTTTTTGTTTGTTTATGTATTTGGAAGTCAGGGTTACATAGAGAGAGAAGAAAGAGAAAAGAGGAACATAGAGAGAGATCCTTCATTTTCTGGCTCACCTCTCAAGTGGCTCCTACAGCCAGGCTCAGGCTGGGTCAAAGTCAGGAACCAGGGATTTCTATCTGGTCTCCCATTTGGGTACAGGGGCCCAGGCACTTGGCCATCCTCAGCTGCTTTCCTAGGTGCATTAGTAGAGAGCAGGATTAGAAGTGGAGGAGCTGGAATTAGAATTTGTGTTCTTGGGCCTGGTGGTGTGGCCTAGTGGTTAAAGTCCTCTCATTAAACGTGTCGGGATCCCAAATGGGACTGGTTCTAATTCCGACAGCCCCAGTCCCCATCCAGCTCCCTGCTTGTGGCCTGGGAAAGCAGTCGAGGACAGCCCAAATCCTTGGGACTCTGCACCTGTGTGGGATACCTGGAGGAAGTTCCTGGCTCTTGGCTTTGGATCGGTGCAGCACCAGCCATTGCGGTCACTTGGGGAGTGAATCATCGGATGGAAGATCTTCCTCTGTGTCTCTCCTCCTCTCTGTATATCTGACTTCAAATAAAATCTTTTTTTTTTTAAGATTTATTTATTTTCATTACAAAGTCACCTCTGGGCACGTCTTCACCTGCCTGTTCACACCCCAGGACCCACACCCAGTGTCATCTCAGATCCACCCTGACTGTGTGCAGCCAGCAGGCAACTCCCTCTGCCACCTCGTGCCTGGGCCCCCTGGTCTCACCATCACCCTAACCCCTTCTGCCCACAGCTGCTGTGCTCCTTCTTGCATCCCTTGCTTCAGCCTCGCAAGGAGTTCCAGGTGAGGACAGGTGTGGTAAACAGGGATATGGGATGGGGTGGAGCTGGTCTTGGCGGCTTCGCTGAAGTCTACCCATCTGGCTCTAGCAGGTTCTGGCCTGTGGATGTGCCAGCCGGCACCCAGGTGTGGGGACCAGGTCTACAACCCCCTGGAGCAGTGCTGTGATGATTACACCGTCCTGCCTCTAAACCGGACCCGCCGCTGTGGTCCCCGCTGCCGCTACTGGCCCTGCTTCGAACTCTGCTGTCCGGAGTCCTTTGGCCATCCAAGATTTGTTGTGAGGCTGAAAGTGCTGGGTGTCAATTCCCAATGCCACACCTCCCCCATCTCTAGGATCTGTGTCTGGTGAGGACCCCTGGCCCCTGATTGTGGGACTCAGGTGGGGTGGGAGATGGGAAGGGAGTCTGCTGGGGTCCGTGTGATGGGTGTGGAAGACAGGAAGGTGTGAAAAGTATTGTTCCATTGCAGGCAGAGCCGCAAGGAACTTCCCGCTGTGTGGCAAGGCCCGGCGGATGTCTCTACGACCACCTGAATGCAGCTCCGCCTCCCTTTGCATGGACAGCAGACAACCCCTTTGAGATTTCTGTAATCTATTTAGGCATTGTCTGGCTCTACAGAGTTAATGTTTAATATCAATGTGAGCTTGGAAGCTGATGCTGCTGATACCAGTTTTTGTTTTGTTTTGTTTTGTTTTTGTTTTTTATTTTTAAGTAAAATTTTCACTTTTATTTTGACAATCTTCACATAGTTAATTTGGGTAAAAAGGTTCAGGGGCTACAGGAAAGTGGGTAAGACTATTATTTCCATATTGTTTCCTTCATGTATCTGAGGTAAAGGGGGATATTGAGGGAGAAGCCCCACCCGGTTTCCCACCCACACCAAGTCCCGCATGTGGGGGATGCTCTGAGATACTGGCTCAAGTGGATTCAATAGTTCACCAGTTTTGAAATTGCTGCCAATCACGCCTCTCCAAACACAATGAGGTTGTTGAAAAATCCATTGATTGACACTGTCCATCACAGTGTCTCCATTAGCCTGGTATTTTATTGCCAACCTATAGCTGAGGAGGTTGATTAACTTGTTCCATCTTCTGTCCTTTCATGGTTAGGGTTCTGAGTCCGGCATTTCAATTGGGAAGATCGCCAAAGAAACTTCATCTGAGATGTTCCCAAGCCAGATTCTTGTATGCACCAGCAAGTACAGGATCCGGCACAGTCCATCACCCCGGTCAGCTGGTTGGTTCTGTTTTCAGCCCTGACTTCCACTGGAACCAATGGGTGTTGCAGTCCAGACTGGTTCTGCACAGTGGATACTCGGCCCTCACCTAATTCAGTGGGAGCTGCAGCGACCTACAATAACCTTCACCAGGCCCGCCCCCTACCCTGGTTTGCCAGTATGTGTAGCAGACCAGTCCAGTCTGTCCCACATCCCCCTTGGCTCTCGTACATGGCAATTGGCATTGAAGCTTAGATCCATCTAACCAGCTCAACAGTCAAACCCTCACGGGTATTGTTGAGTGCCTTTCTGTCTAGCCACCCCAGCCCCTGAACTAGTTTTCGTGCCCTCCCATGGGAGTGGTAACCCAAGAAGGAGGAGCCCACTATTTCCCTCCTAGATCTCTCACTCCCAGATTATGCACTTTCCAGGTGGTTTTGCAGTTTAACTTGACAGAACTAGCCCCCAGTGCCAGCTTCTGCCAGCTAATGCTGCGGCTACGCCCAAACAACCCTCGCCCACTCTAATTATAGATTGTACCAGTAGGAATAATCAGCCCAGCCCGGCTTTTCCATGATCTAGGCCACATGAGGCACACAGGTGTTTTAGCGCTGCTTAGTCTGGTCTGCCCCCATCCCAGAAAGGTGAGGGTAGAGGTCAGACTGGTTTTCTAGGTTAGTGGGTAGTAGGGGTATGCGATCTGAAAGGGACATATAAGGGGAGGTGTGGGGAAGACAGGGCTGCTATTTGGCTTTTTGGGTTTTTTTTGTTTTGTTTTAGTTCATTTCATTTTATGACACAATTTCATAGTTTCTGGTATTTCCCAAACCCTTCCCCAGGCCCTTCCCCCATGGTGGATTCTTTCACCTTATTGCAGTATTGCAGTATTACAGTTCAAATCCAATCATGCTGCCTTATTTTAAGATGAAATTATGTCAATCTGAAAAATAGTATCTGTAAATTGTAATATTGTTTCAACCTTAAACATCCTGTATCACATGCAATAACATTGTGATGTAACCAATGAACGAACAATCAATGTGAGTCAGACTGCTTATGATCTACATCAAAGAATTGTAAAACCTAATGTACTTCTAAGATCCTATGCTACTCGGTAATGCGGCAGGAGAGCAGAGAAATCTTCCATCTCCTTAGAATGTACGAGGAAGGTGTGAAGTATAACCTATCAGGAGCATAACAGATAACTTACAGAACAGACTCGAATCAGCATTAGACAGTAGCAAAACTATAGACATATAGGGGGAATCAAGAGTGATCCTGGCAACCTCTTAACAGGAGGTAATATGCACAGAGCAGGGGGGACCCAAGAGTGGAGCAGGTGGACAGGAGGAGGCTTGTATCCCAACCCTGGGGACTCCCAGATCCTCACCAATGACTATCAGCACGAGCACCAAAGACTATATCCTAATTGCCAAGGAGACCACGGGGAATTGGAGTGCCTTCAGAGGCTGAGAACTCTGAGATCATCTACTCCCATTTGGATTTCCCACATGGGATGGAAGAAGCCCAAATCCTTCCTCACAGGAGCCAATATCATTGGAACAACAGCCAGGAGCCCTGACTGGTCCGCAGAAATGGAAGAACAGTAAACTTCCTTTGGGACTAGGGAGAGGAGCTTTCTCTGGTCCTTACTTAGTTCCAACTTTGGATCCCCACCCTCTCTTGCAGTGACCATCAGGGTCGCTACGGAGCCCTCACCGCCGCCAAAAAAATAGATTAGATAGAGAACGACAAGGAAAGCTCAATACCAGACAGGAAAACGGTTAGCCGGGGCTCACATATATCTTACTAAGTAGGACATAAAGATAAGTTACTCCTCACTAAGATAGTGAAGATTTCTCTGCACACCTTCCTGAAACTGTTTTGCGCCTCAGCTGTTGACATCAACAACAGTTTACAACCTTATGGAGTTAATTGACATGGTATCAAGTGACAAATATGTTAGAAAATGCAAGTTCTTAAGCACATCCTGTGATTACTTTATTGACATTTCAATTTTAGTTTATACACAACTGGCTGCTATAAACACCTTAAAATGGCTATAGGGTACTATTCAGTTGTCTCGTGTCTATTTCCATTTTTGTATTTTGTAGTTTATAGTGTTGAACCATAATTTTGCTGAACTTGGTGGATTGTGGGATAGTCCATGCTGGCTTATAAATCTAACAAGGCATATGTTGTTCTCTGTCTATCTAATCTATTTTTTGGCGGCGGGGAGGGCTCCGTAGCGACCCTGATGGTCACTGCAAGAGAGGGTGGGGATCCAAAGTTGGAACTAAGTAAGGACCAGAGAAAGCTCCTCTCCCTAGTCCTGGGCTGGTGATAGGCTGAACTAGAT